GCATATGAAGTGAGAATAGCTTGAATGTTTAGTTTGACATGTGGAATGAGTTAGAATTTGAAGTTTGTTTGAATGAAAGTGGTGAGTTATTAAGTGTTCTTGGATGGCATTGTTGAATTTTAAGTGAATTTTGATAGAGTTTGTGTGCATGTTTTTTAGACTTAGTGAGAGTAAGTTTTGTGAATTTGAAAGTTGTTTTAATGAGTTTTTGTTAAATTTTAATGCTTACATATGCTTACTTTGAGTTCATGCATATGAAGTGAGAATAACATTTTTAGTTCATGGCATGTGGAAAGCTTGAATGTTTAGTTTGCCATGTGGAATGAGTTAGAATTGGAAGTTTGTTTGAATGGAAGTGGTGAGTTAACCTGTGGAAGTGTTTGTTAACATAAGTTTATTTGTTTTTTATTTTTTCAGGTTCGTTCGATTTCTGTATCGAAAGCTTCTGAAAAGTTGATTATCTCTCTTGAAGAATTTGATGATACGGGACATTTGAATGTTTAAGTTTTTTATTTTCAGACTTCTTAGAATATGTTGTTTAATTTTAGTTTGTATGGACTTCTTGTACTTTTTGTAAAACTAATTTTTATTTAATATTATAAAATTTGATATGAAATTCAATCTATGGCATTTAGGTTTATTGTTGAAAAAAAAAATCAGAGACGAAAACAGATTTGGTCGCTGAAGGCACCTTCAGCGACCAATATCAGTTCGTCGCCGAAGATATCTTCGGCGACAACTACGTATTTGGTCGACCAAAATCATTTTCGTCGTCGAAGGTTACCTTCGGCAACGAAAAACGAAAGTCGTCGCCGAAACCCTCTCACGATTGAGCAACGACGACGAATCAGGCGACGACTTATTTTCGTCCTAAAGATTTTCGGAGACAAATTTGGACCTTTTAGCGACAAAATTCGTCATCTCTGAAACTCTAAATTCTTGTAGTGACATATGAGGAACACTTCCATTGGAAGGGCTCGTCCAATTGCCCCCCTTCCACAAGAAACCAACAGTTTTTCGACTCCTTGACGAAACTCGGCCCTTTGAATAACTTCCCACCATAGATATGAGGTAAAATCATTCTAAATAGTCTAGGACATTCGAGATGCTAAACATCTGGAAGACTTTGTATGCCTACAGTCTTGCATCTCCATTGTGCTCCAACCAAAGCTTCCACAAGCTAAGTAAGGACCCACCCATTGGGAGCGAGCTGTGTAAAGGCAATACAAGCCTCAAACAAAAACCACTGGGCAAAAGGGTGAGGCGGCAACCTTAACCCTTGTTGAGCACCTAACAGTACAGCCCCAACAAGCAACCAGGTAAGGAGTCGATCCTTTCATCAAAGTCTGTTTGCATTAGCAACGTCGGGATATGCTCTGTCATGATACTTGGAGTGACGGCGACACCTCAACTCAGGGCCAATCTTCTCTCAATGGCAGCGTGTATCACCTTCGTTTAGTGGAGAGGAGGAAGAAAGTCATGGAAGCAAAAAGATAGATGATTTGCAAGAGGATCGAGATTGAAAAATAGGATGAGTAGAAGAAAGACGGGTCAAGGGCATGAATCCCCTTAAAAAGGGAAAAAGGCCAAAAGACCCTTATAATCCCAAACTGTTGGATGAAGAGATGATCTGACGGTCTAGAACCATAGAATAAGATGTATCGTCATGAGCATTCATTTCAAGTGCACCATCACGCTTCCGTCACTAGTACAAAGAGAAAATCGACACGCATTCTCAGAGCGACAAACAACTGATAACTCTCCAAAGAGTTATTTTAGGATTATTTTTTAATTTTATGGGTATAATTTCAAGGGTCCTTGTCCTAATGTTGCTTTAATCTAAAGTTAATTGATAGAATATGAAAGTCAACCTTTAGTTTGATCATATGTACAAACTTGGAAGAATTTACTTAGTTCTTGTTGTTTCTTATCTCTTGTGTAGGATTGCTAGGACATTAGGAGTGAAGCAACATAGTTGCGTAGCTGAAGGAAGGACATGTGATGTTGTAGCATCATTGTATGGAAAATGGCAATGCAGTAACTAAAATTCATGCATATATTCTTTACCCAATGTTTGTACTCATGTTCCTGCTGTCCTTAAAAGGGATGGTACAAAAGCGATAGGATGAGGTAGCCCACATCATCGATCCCAATAAAACAATACCAGAAAAACAAAAAAAAAAAAAGAGAGAGAGAATATACCCCTATGGCTTTGCTTAGAGGAATACCCAACAGTTTTTGGGGGAACATTGAAGGATATTTCGGTAGTATCTAGACTTTCATGGAGTTGGGTTGTAATTCTTTCATTATTATTTTGTCTTTCCCATCCATTATGAGCTAACCCAATTTTCGGGGGAGGTTGTATAAACTTTTAATTTGTCGTGAACTTCAGATGCTGTAATTCGAGTTTTCCCTTGCTATCAAGTAGAGTTGATTTGTCTTTCGTATTATTCTGAAATATGGCCACTATTTTTGGATTACTTACTCTCATATGATTTGGAAAAATAGGTGAGATGTGGGTTTGGCTCTAATTGACATTAGTCTACATTTTTAGTTAGATTGTGAATACTTAGGGATAAGATTCACCTAACATTGCTTTAAAACTGTTTCTATTGTTTGATTTGTGTAACGGAAGTTTTAAAGGATCACAATCTAGGTATTTTGAAAGAAAACCTTGTTTGTGACAATGTCAACAGAATACCCTAAATGTTACTGCACCACTCTATGCTAGGAAGAAAAGGACACAAAATGTTAGGAGAAGTCCCCACAACGATGATTGGCTGACCATCTTGTTCCACCACTTTCTCCTTCCATATAAGGATAAGAACAACCCTAATCGAGATAAGCCACATTTTTCCTACACAACTCCTTATGAGGATTAGGCACACACTCTCAAGTAGACTCTCACCCTATAGATTACTATCTTCTTATTTCTTATGCTCCATGCCTATTTCTCCAACTTGAGTCTTTACTTAAGTATCAGAGTGCATTCGACAAAGTACCACACGAGTGTTAGATTTCTATATATAGGCGATAAGAACTTGGAGATGGAGACGACTTACGTAGCCCCTATGTGAACCTCACCCAAAAATCAGCGTCAGCAAGCGACCAAAACAAATACTTATATCAAAAAAAATGTTACATGATCTCAAATCTCATTGGGCTAGGTGAATTATGAGAGAAAAAAATAGAGAGATAATGGACAAGTCGGATTGGGTTTAAGAAATATTTATTAAAATTCACCTAATAATAGTTTAAATTTAATCCATAATATTCTAATTTTTCTATTAAAGAACGGTGAAGTTAGATAAATTTCAATATCATAAAATTATTAGTAAAAGTAAGATGTAATTATCATTAATTTTAGTACGCTGAATTGATAATAAAATAATAATATAAATACAGTTATTTAATTCTCTAAAATTTATATGAAAAATATTAATTCTATACCAATATATTAAAACGGCTACTTAATTAATTAATTAACTCATGAAGACCTAAGTAACACTGAATATTGTAATCTCCATCCTGGATGTTATTGAACTAGAAAACTAATGAATAACTGATCAACTAAAACTATGTTATAAGTATTTAAAATTAGTTATCTTCCTTGCAAAAATAACATATACAATATATTCAATGATGGCTTTGAGTAGCCTACAAAAATATTAAATTAGTTATATTCCTTAAAAAATGGGATATATGAATGAGTCGAAATAACCTAACATAAATCCATTGGTTAAGATATCTTATATCTTCTTAAAAGTCATAGGAAAGGGTCATTGCTTAGATATTTTTTGAGCAAGCCACACAAATAATTATATAAAAATTAATCAAATATTAGGAATTCTATTTAGAAGTACAGACTTTCATATCAATTTAAAAAATATATATATATATATATTATCCAATCTATGTTAGTTTAAATTAATATTACAAAATATTTTCCATACAGTGATAGATTATTAAAATTGTTTTAACATATATGTACTTTTATGCCCCTACGTGTATTTTCTCATCCGTATCCCTCCATAAGGTAAACTGATTTGAGAAATTATACTAAATCACGTAAAATAAATATGTCTTTATAAAAAATATCAATACTTTTAATTTAATTTCTTTTTAAAAATGTCACAAATAATGGAGTTTTTATCACTCGTATAATTCTATAAGTTTTGAATTTATGTCCCGTATGTAAAATTTTAAATCTAATACTAGAAATATTGGTACATATTTCTTTAAAATGTGTTAATAAAGATCCCTAATATCTTTAGTCTCATTCTAACTTAAAAGTTGGTTATTAGCAAATACCTTTCCACAATAATGGCGTGATCGACTCCATTTGATGTTGTTGTAAGGTTGGGTATAGATTTCTTGTCGTAATTGTAGAATGAGGGGAGTGATTGGCCCCACAAATCGCTTGCCATATAAATATGACATTGGAAGATATATCAATCGATACAAAAAAAGCAAACTTGCAGGAATTACAGGTACCACATTTCCTAGCATCCAAAATTCTGGAGGCATGGGGTTTACTCCCTCCCACTCGTACAAGCCCACAACCTACACGTAACCTCTGAAATTTCAGTAGAGAAACGAAAACGTTAACAAACGGACCTCTACTAGATACTACTTACTGCGAGCCAAATCTTTCCCCAGGAAGGTACGTAGAGGGCACCTCCATGATCTAGAATCCATTTTCGAGCTTTACAGCAAGCATTCGCATCAACTTCTTCTCCGAGCAAACGCAATTGAACATAGTTTAAAACAGTGCAAAGCATGCAACTTTCTCCCACAATGTGCAATCCCCATCCTCCATCTTCATTCTAAAACGTATATTTATTTCATTTCAAAACACACGATTAGTTGACCCATGTCCTTTCCATTTAAATAAATTAATTTGCCGACTTTTTTACCTGATGGCAATATGTATAGCGAAGGATTTCCTTTCGATGTTCTTCTGAAAATATAGTGCTAAGATGCCCTGTAATGTACAATGCAAATACCTTTTTTCCAAAAAAAAGAGAAAGGAAAATGTCTGGTCTGTAGTACAATTCTGCCTTTGAAATTAGAAATAATGTGAATTTTTGATTAAACAGTAATACCAAGGAAGGCGAAAAGAATAAAGGGCCGGAATTTTCAGCAGGCCAATGGCCTTGATTGCTCTGCAAGGCTGCAAAAAATGTTGCTGCTCTTCTCAATGCAACTGTCACTATTTCACTCTTCATCACTTCCCCTTCTTTCACTACCACCCTTGGAATTGTTTGTTTGAAATTCTCTCTCGTAGAGTCTGCATCTCCCAAAGATGGAAATTTCGTAAATCTCAATATCATATTTACGGGTTCCATTTCAAAACAATTTGAAAACGAGAGATAACTCAATTCTATTTTAAACCATTGTTAGGTTCCTTATATTTTATGTGGGATTCTTAACACGTCCTTTAGGATGGTGTCTCCTTCGGATTCTCCTTGGTTTGAATTTTTGAACTTTATACCATATCATTAGTAGTAGGTTTATCTCAAAATGAATTGGTAACGAGAATAATAAAGGAATAACTAATTTATGAGTGATTTAATAAAATAAAATAAAACCTGAAACCTCCAGAGAGCAAGTCGCTGTCGCATTTGAAATGGTTACGATTTTGGAAATAATTTTGGCGCGCTGCTTCAACTTCAGCTCGCTCCTCTACAGTGCCAGCATTGGGATCAAATTGCCATGTGTGCCTTCCCACAAACTTGTTGGTGCTGAATAAGTATGGGTTATCTGCTCCCTCTCCCACCTCAAGTCTCCACATTTTTAGTATATATTCTCTCTAACTTTGTCTTTGCACTCAAATTTCTCATATACTTATAAAAGTGATCCAAGTTGTATTCTTAATAAAGAAACTCATTAATTGCATGCGTCTCTCCACGTAAATTCATTTTAAATTGAGTTGTGCGTGATAGAAATTACTCATTAATGGCCAATAAGGAGTACTCTATTTAGACTAAAGGAAGAGAGTATAATGAAGGGTTGAATAGTAAACAAACTCAAACAAAATATAAAATTAGTTTTCATTAGCGAATTACACAGGTGTGCTATTTGGGCCACCTTCGTGTTTTATGAAACTTAATTTTTTGGGATTAGTACATTGATGGRCTATTTAAACATCCTAATTACATAAAAGGATGAAATGTATAGAATTTAGATTTGTTATATATCAACCTTATTTAAGAAGGTACCCATCACATAAATTACTTAAATACCCTCTTGTATCTACAAATTCATTTTAAGATATAGAATTGATTAATTGGAAGGTTATAATTTGAAACAATATCCCGAAATTCCCCAAAATTTGAAAACTTTCAGAAATCCCCGAAAATCCAAAAATAACAATGGTCAAGACCATGAAACGTTTAGAAGTTCAATTTTGGAGGACCCTATTTACAGAACTATAAGATATATGTGTATATATCTTATACTAATAAAATATATACACATATAAGATATATACACAGATACAATATATACTCATCTATACGAATATAATGAGCAATACTAAGACTATGAGACATTTAGAACTTTAATTTTCTATACACATACACAAAATATATCCCCATATATAACCAATCTTAACGGAAGACTACTAATTACCAATGGTATGGAGGACCCTTTCTACAGAACTATAAGATATATACACATATAAGATATATTCACATATACAATATATACCCATATACACGAATATAATCAGGAATACTAAGACTATGAGACGTTTAGAACTTCAATTTTCTATACACATACAGAAAATATATCCCCATATATACCAATCTTAACGGAACATTAATAAGTACAAATGGTAAAAACAGAAGGGGACAAGAGACGAGGAACGCGCTGAACGGCGTCAGAAACGTGCAAAGACGTCGACGGAAAGTTTATTCGGCGACGGAAATTAAAGGAATAAATACCTCGTTGACTGAAGCACGCTGCACGACGTTGGAAACGTGCAACGAGGTCGATGGAAAGTCTATTCGGCGACGGAAATAAGAAGATCTCGACGAAAAGAAGAAGGAAAAAATCGCTCGTTGATGGAAGCCCTAAAGAAGAACACATACGGTCTGCACGTCTCATGTCCTCGTTGATGAAGGTCTGCATGAAAGAAAGGAAGACGGCGAGGAAAAAAAAGAAGGTTGGAGACGGTAATTCAAAACATGATTTCACAAATTTGGAAGTTCTTAATTGGTGAGAGGATAAAATCTTTTTTGAATGAGAGATTTGAGGAATTTACGTTGAAAAATTGAACGGGGTCCACAATAATTAAATCAATATAATAACAAATTAAGGATTCAAATCTTTTAAATTTTAAAATTATAATAAAATAAAAAGAATAAATAAGGGTAGAAACGGTATTAACATAAAATTCTACATGAAAATATCTAAAAGTGTAAATTTTGAAAACTAAAGACATTTATGAAATTAAGATTTAAAAATAGACGTCCCAAGATATTATCTCTAATTTTTTTTGAGAAATTTAAGTAGCTGTTTCTAAAAATGTCCATTAGTTTTAAATTTTGCACAAATGCCTAAATGGTGTTTTAGGAATTTTACAAAAAGAACTTGGTTTTCCAACAATACCATTTTCCATGTTTTTTTGGGTTTTCTTATATTCAACCACCTAACTATCTTTGTTTCCAATTCAAAATGATTTTCCTACATGTAACACATTTCAAGTTAATTATTTTAATTATTTTATTTTGTATTTAAGGTAATTTAAACGATTTGTATACAACGAATCGTCTCTCATCTCATTTGTCGTTGTTCTAATGTATCTTCTTAATATATATATACATATTTGCATCAATTAGTATATATACCTAACAACTAAGGAGTATATGCTGTCACTTGTTGTTTGTATTATTAATGTCCTTCTTCTTTATCATTTAATAAATTATCTACAACAAAATTAAAAAAAAAAATCGAACACTAACAACCCATAAATCAAAACAATTAGAAAAATAGATGATACCTCTTAAATTTGTAGTCTTTGAGCACGTATCGTCATTAGATCCAATCTCTTAAACTTCTTTAGACGTTGAGTTATTTTTCTTATCTTCATCGGTGGATTCATTATTCACTCTTTCATTCTTTTCATCCGACTTTGTATCGTCCTTTAAAATATTAGAAAATTATAAAAATTAAAAGGTCAATAAATGTATATGTCAATTAAAGAAAAATCAAAATTAGAATTCAATACACGTATATATTACCAAAATCAATTATGTCAATACATGTATATACCAATTCAAAAATTAACAAAATACGAAAGTCAATACATGTATATACAACTATACAACTCAAATATTATAAGTAGAATGTCAATACATGTATATACCAATAATTATCTCACTAACACATTCTTCCTCAACTATCTTGAGACCCTTTCCTTTTCCCTAACTCATTGAATCTAATTGTAAATATTACTGTAAAAATTAACAAACAAAAAATATATAAACTACTACGTCTATACCTCTTCTTCACTTTCTAAATTGATTTTGCACGATTGCCTTGAACGACATGTTATACCAGTAGCTTTTAATCATCATCGAGATGTTCCTCCTCTAACTTTTACCATATATACAGATTATATTTAGAATTTAAGCTATATAAATATAGTAAGTCTGTTGCTGTTGTACATATTCTCCCCATATCAAGTTATAAACAAAACACGCATGTCGGTCTCACACTTGTATTTTTTTAAATATCCTAAAATACAGAAAAACCAAAAATATCTTTTTAAATTTCCCTAAAATACGCAGAGTCTGAACAAAGAGTCTTACCTTCCTTGAACAGCTACTGGAAGATGGTAGTTGGGCGGCAAAACAGAAACAGATCAAAGTGGCAGTAGGTGGATATGGTCTGAGGCGGCTGGCGGATCGTATCGGCATCGGGCAGATCTGGTCGGGCGGCGGGACGACAGATCTGGTTTGGGCCATGGCGGATCGGGTAGATATGG